GTGTAGGTCAAGCTGTGATAGAAACCTTGACTGAAGAGGCATAGTTGTGACACGCTTAAACTCTGCGTTTCTCTGAAACATAAAACCATTTTTTAACACATAGACACAAAATGCGTTACTCCCAAACTACACCGTCCGACCATCACTGCGTGCACTTGTTTAGTCATTTAATTTCTGAAAAAAAACGGGGAAATTTTGAACTACATCCTAATGGAGCCAAGCATTAGTCTAACAGTTGAACATACTATCTATAGCACAAGTCACAACATTATTGAAGACTTTTCTTCTGGCCTCCATTACATTGAAGAGACCAAGCCATGGGAGCATCAGGAATGACTTTGTGATGCAAATGTTTTCTCCATTTCAAGCCGAACTGTCTCTATTATTAAGCTTCTTGATATCTGAAAGGAGTTCAACCCTCATCTTCTCCAGGGACTGTTGACTTTCTCCGGGTGGAAGAGAGGGCAGTAAGCCGGACATCCCACTTTCGGAGATGTGTGTGGTAGTTGGACAACTTGTATTTGAGGCTGGACTTCCAACCCTCATAGCAATGTCTGAGCCTTTTTCTTGTAAACATAGATGCCTCATGATGAGTGCCTCTGCAACTTGATCAAACTCCCTGTCTGTGAGATAGACTTTGTGGTGAACTACCTCCTGAATCAACCCCTCCAGTATATCAGACTTCAGCTCTGGATCAGGGATCAGCAGCGTCCCATTTTCTTTGAAAGCTTCATGAGCTATCTCAAGCTTGAACTGTGCATCATAAGAAAAACAGGGAACATGAAATGTATCTGGCCAGGAAGACCGTGAAGAAGTGGACTCTGGAGATGTTAGAATAACCGTGCTGTCACCAGAAAAAGATGTGGTGTCATCAGGAGTACTGGTTGGTGGAAAGGAGAAACAGCCCACACCTTGATCTGCATCAGCATCTTGAGGTTGGCATGATGTGAAGATGACCTTGACTGTAGCTTTGTCTTGGATTTCTTCCATAGAAGTTAAGTTCATAAACTCACAGCCAAAAAGGGTGTCCATGAACTGTAGCCGAAAGGATTCCATTATTTTACACTGACTCTTAATCTCAGTCTCCAGCTCAGTCACAGTCAAAGGCAGGCCAACAGGAAACGCCACCCTCTGATTGCTGTCTGGCCCCAGGATCACTCTGAGAATAGCTGAAGTTGTCATGGTCTCACTTTACTGTCTGTTAGGAAAGAGTAAATAAAGAAAAAGTTTAGAATAAGTTTTGTTTCAAGAGGTTCATGTAATCATTAAAATGTAATTTGACTGTCTCTATGCTTTATTTGTATATTTTGAATGTGATTAACAAATTCTGAAAAACATTTAGTTGGAGAAAAAAAAAACTAGAAAAGGAGATGTAGGCACAATGTACAGTTGCTCCATTCTCCATGTGAATTTTGGATCCCACTGTTATTCAAAGTCACACAAAGCAGTCCTCCTCTTCACGTGACTGCATGTACGTGTCCGCGCAGTGTTTAATTTGTAACCTTAAAGCTATACTTTGACTTTAAGATGGGTGTATGCAGACATCGAAAAACAAAAAGAGGGCAGGTGATAAGCATAAAATAAAACAAACATCTTGCACACTGCTGGGCTCTAATGTACAACTTACTTATTGCATAAAACTTGTCTGATGAAGAACATGTGTGCTCAAAATGTTACTCAGAGCCCAGCAGTGTGCGAGATGTTTTGTTTCATCTTATCATGAGTAACCTTACCTCAAGACACAGATTGCTCTCTTCAATGTCACCATCCGCACACACCCAACCAGATAGGCAGCCAAGGGATACTCATCGACCAGTTCACATGCTTTAATACTTGGGACCTACTTGGTAAAACTGAAGGACAGGCCTTACATCTCCACATTCACAGCAAAGGTTTGTCACACTCGCAGCATCATTCACTGCAAAGGAGAAATTGAGTCAAATAAGTATTCATATCTAATAAGAAAATCACCAAATGTACAAGTCAGAAATGCATGACAAGCTGTCAGAAATTCCAGAATTTACTCCAGTACACCACAACCAACCAATATAACCTCAATAATAGGCATAAAGTAGAATAACATCTGACAATGTTTACAAAAATGGAAAATAAATAAGCTTTATAAAAGTAGAATTTATGGCAGCGCTGTTGTATAGGTAGCTAGTTACGGTGGGCCCTCTTTGTTTACATGCCCGACCATTTGAAGAGTCTAGGCTGTGTATTAACACCAGAGTATGGACAGGAATAAGATCTTGAGGAGATATTCACCAGAATCACTGGCTCCACCTTTAAGTGGATTTTATTTTTAAATACCATTTTTACAGAGCAAATAAAAGTGATGTTCTCACCACTAAAACTTGAGCCCACAGTGAAAGCGCTGACTCTGTGAGATGTTCACTGACTGAGTTTGACGGTCAATCTGCAGGAAAAAGAAAAAGAAAAACACTTCTAACCGAATTTCTCTAAGCACAAACAGTGTGAACTATAGGTGTGGGGAAAATATGCTTTTAGATGGCTGATGACAATCTGAAAATGTAAATGACACCATTTGCTCTCTTCAATTTGCATTTATATAATAGATATACTCTCCACAACAAAACTCTGGAGTTTTATGTTGATGGTGAGCTGTGTGATCGAGAGCATCCTGACCAGCAGTGTCTCAGTCTGGTACGGAAACTGCTCTGTCGCAGACCGTAAGGCGCTACAGCGGGTGGTAAAAACCGCCCAGCGCATCACAAGGTGTCCACTTCCGGCCATTGAGGATGTCCAAAGAAAACGCTGTCTGCGGCGAGCTCAAGGCATCCTTAAAGACTCCTCCCACCCTGCCCACAGACTGTTTACCCTCCTGCCCTCCGGCAGGCGCTTCAGAAGCCTCCGGACCAGAACCAGCAGACTGAGGAACAGCTTTTTCCCCAGAGCTGTTTCTCTACTGAACTCTACCCCCCGAACTCTGAACTCTGTCTCTCTCTCTCTCTCCCTCTCTCTCTCCGCACCCTGCTGACCCCCCTTTTCCCTCCATATCACCTCACACCCGAACTCTGTATTCTGTCTCTCTCTCTCTCTGTATTCGAACTCTGTATTCTGTCTCTCTCTCTCTCTGTATTCGAACTCTGAACTCTGTCTCTCTCTCTCTCTCCCTCTCTCTCTCCGCACCCTGCTGACCCCCCTTTCCCCTCCATATCACCTCACACCCATCATCCCCCCACCACTCCTCCTGGTCACACACACACATCTCTCATCCACCTGTACTATTGTATTATAGTATGTTCATATTCTTTAAATTATCTGTAAACTTCTATAACATGCTCACTGCATCTTATTCTGTATATTATTAGTATAGCATGCTCACTGCACCTTAATCTGTATATTATTAGTATAGCATGCTCACTGCATCTTAATCTGTATATTATTAGTATAACATGCTCACTGCATCTTATTCTGTATATTATTAGTATAGCATGCTCACTGCATCTTAATCTGTATATTATTAGTATAGCATGCTCACTGCACCTTATTCTGTATATTATTAGTATAGCATGCTCACTGCATCTTAATCTGTATATTATTAGTATAACATGCTCACTGCATCTTATTCTGTATATTATTAGTATAGCATGCTCACTGCACCTTAATCTGTATATTATTAGTATAACATGCTCACTGCATCTTATTCTGTATATTATTAGTATAGCATGCTCACTGCATCTTATTCTGTATATTATTAGTATAGCATGCTCACTGCATCTTAATCTGTATATTATAATCCTAAAAACACACTTATTTTGTAGCATTACTTATTTATAGCATTTATTTATATTTATTGCATCCCATTAATCCAGCCATCCAGATTTACCTCATAATTCACTTTTTTTGGCTACATCTGTAAATTTTGCAATTACTGTACATAGCACAGAATTACTGTACATAGCACAGACTCTTGCACTCAATTACTGTACATAGCACAGAATTACTGTACATAGCACAGACTCTTGCACTTTCTACTTATTTGCACTTCTGGTGAGATGCCAAACCTCATTTCGTTACTCTATACTTGTATATGTGTAATGACAATAAAGTTGAATCTCATCTCATCTCATCTCATCAAATACACACAAACTATGCATTAGTATATACAATTTATTTTCTTAGTGGGAAAACACTTCTATTCCTGTTATTTAGAGTAAAGATATATACTCAGCAAACACAGAACTTGAGCCACAGTGGAGGAACTAAGGGTATCCTCAGTCTGAAGGCAATCTGCATCAGCAACAAGAGCCACAACATGAAAATACAAACACTTCATAATACAAAACTGTTACTCATAAAACGGCAGAGCCTTCTGGACAGAACCTGCGGTCACTTCTCATATATTACAGAAGCTATTAAATAAGCTAATAAATAAACTAAACGTTTATGTTATTTATCTAATTAATGTGCATGTTACAGTGTCTTCTGCGGACACACACACACACACACACACTCACACACACACGCATATTTCCTTAGAGATATGCAAAAGAAAAGAAAATTATTGACCGGTATTGGAACAATCATAAATTAAGTCCAACTAATGTCACAGATTATAAATCAATCAGAACGGCTGCAGAGCTACAAACAGGAAGCAGAGGCTCTCCAGAGTCAGGTTGATTTCACCACACTGGGGTTTATACAGCTCAGTGCTTCATTGTTACATTTATTCATCTCATGCTACAGGAAGAACATTTCAGGATGGTATGAATGTAATACAGTTATATGGTAACTATCTATTTGATGTGAAATGCATTATAATCCTTTTAATCTCTTATTACAACATAACCACATTCAGTTATTCACAAACTCCAAGAAACACACACCTGCACGCACACACAAAATATAAGTTAGGTTAATTTTATAAATGCATTGACGTGCGTCATTATCCGTTTAATATAAAACTACTGTCACAGTTTTACACTTTCTAAAAGGCTGTTACAGGGAGAGATGACTGAACGGGAAGCCCCTGTATGCAGGGAACAGGAGGTAATTTCTCTGCCTTTGTGTGGAACAGGTTCGTCAGCGTGAAGGAGCAGCGTCTGACCTCTCTGGTGGCGAACATCCTGATTGGTTTGTCTGCGTTCATGCTACCCCTCCCTCTGCAGTGGATCCCAAAGCCCGTCCTCTACGGCCTCTTCCTTTACATCGCAGCCACGTCGCTCGATGGGAACCAGATGGTGGACCGCATGGCGCTGCTGCTGAAGGAACAGGTGAGCTGGCAGGACCCCCCAGGTGTGATGGATTTGTTTTTTTACTTCAGTGTTTCCTCTAAAGTCCAAAATGAGGCAGCTCTGAATAAATCAGCTAGGTGATGTTCTCAGAGTTATGAGGAAAACGACCACATTAAACCGCCTAAAGGAGATCACATTTTAAACATCGGGAGGTTTTAAGACTCCACACCATGGGAGACCGGAGGTGCATCCCAATTACCAAGTACCTTCTCAGTCTGTCAGTAGGCAGTACCTACTATCCGTGCTGTATACTGTTCAGTAGGCGCAAGTGACGTCATTTACGTTTCCAGAACCAGCCGCATCCCCCCGTTTATTTAATTTTTTTTAGCTTTTTTTTTAGCTAGGTTTTATAATAATGCAGATATTTGTTATATTTTTTGTTGTTAACTAAAATAGTGATTTCAGTCGGGACTTTAAAGTAAGATTAATAATTTTAATTTCGCACAGCATTGTGGGTAAAATACAATTAATTTCCTGAAAGGACGCATCCGGTCCATACTGCATGAAACCAGGAAGTTAGTATCCATACTGAAATGTTCAGTATACTGAGGTGGACCCAAAAAATGACCAATGAATGACCACGAGAGTTCAGTCTACTGAAACTCCTACTGAAAAGTACTGACTACTGAACTGTGGATATTCAGAAAGGGCCCGGGCCTTCTGCTCCTCTGCTCCCAGTCTGTGTAACGCTCTCCCCGAGCAGCAGAGGGCGCCACAGCCTGCAGATGCTTTTATAAAGGACTCTAAAAATCTTTTGAACACAGCCTTCTGCTTGTGCTTTTAGTTTCCTTTGTTGCTTAATTTTTTTTATTTATTTCTATCTTATGTTTTTCTGGAGCACTTTTTTGGGTTATAAATTAAATGTATTATTATTATTATTATTATTATTATTATTATTATTATTATTGTCATTATTATTATTGTCATTATTATTATTATTGTTATCATTATTATTATTGTTATTATTATTATTGTTATTGTTATTATCATTGTTATTATTATTATTATTATTGTTATTATTATTGTTATTATTATCATTATTATGATTGTTATTATTATTATCATTATTATTATTATTGTTATTATTATTATTATTGTTGTTGTTGTTGTTATTATTATTATTATTGTTGTTGTTGTTATTATTATTATTATCATTATTATTATTATTGTTATTATTATTATTATTATTGTTGTTGTTGTTGTTATTATTGTTGTTGTTGTTGTTGTTATTATTGTTATTATTATTGTTATTATTATAATTATTATGATTGTTATTATTATTATCATTATTATTATTATTGTTATTATTATTATTATTATTGTTGTTATTATTATTATTGTTATTATTATTGTTATTATTATCATTATTATGATTGTTATTATTATTATCATTATTATTATTATTGTTATTATTATTATTATTATTGTTATTATTATTATTATTATTATTATTATTATTATTATTGTTGTTGTTATTATTATTATTATTATTATTGTTATTATTATCATTATTATGATTGTTATTATTATTATCATTATTATTATTATTGTTATTATTATTATTGTTGTTATTATTATTATTGTTATTATTATTGTTATTATTATCATTATTATGATTGTTATTATTATTATCATTATTATTATTATTGTTATTATTATTATCATTATTATTATTATTGTTATTATTATTATTATTATTATTATTATTATTATTATTATTGTTGTTGTTGTTATTATTATTATTATTATTATTATTATTGTTATTATTTGTTTGTTCACTTGAAGCTCAATGTGACTCTCGTCGTTTGAATCTCCTGATCACAAGCAGTGCTAGATGTTAGAACTTTTATTTCACTAATAATCCTGTAAAGTTATAACCATGACACTTTGCTGTTGTTGGAAGTTGAGTATATTATAATTTGAAATGTTATCTAAGTTGAGATTTCTATTGAAAACATGAACAATGAATATATCTGAGAAGAGGTCTGTATCAACAACAAGAGCATGCTGGTGATCAAACAGATCAGTATGGAAACAGGGAATGCTAACGCTAACACTAGCTAAGTAGGAGGTGAGGTTTTGAATGGTAACTGTATTTGATCTGTCTCTGTCTAGACCTCGTATCCTCCCACACACTACATCCGCCGTGTGCCTCAAAGGAAGGTCCACTACTTCACGGGTCTGCAGATGATCCAGCTGATCGTCCTGTGTGCGTTTGGGATGTATCCTCTGCCCTACATGAAGATGGTCTTCCCTCTGTTGATGATCCTGCTCGTACCTATCAGGTGAGATTGTCAGAGGTGGAACCAACCTGAATGTTACAACGATGAAGGAACTGAAATGAGTAAAGTGGTCTGAACTTTCCCAGAGGAGCCGAGTGTTAGTATGAACATGTCCTCAATAAGAGGCAGGATGTGTGGATGATGTGTTCCTGCTCCTCCTGCACCTGAGAACATCTCTGAGAACATCTCTCTAAACCAAAGGGAGCCTTCCCCCTCTCTGACCGACACGTCTGGATTTCATCTGAAAAAACTCCGATTTTTACACAACGATCATTTTACTCTTTAGGAAAGTTTATTTATGTTGCACATTTCAACAACAAGTCAATTCAAAGTAAGACATCAAAAAGCACCATGACAGAGGAAAGAAAAGAAACATTAAAATAGAACATTTAAAAAATCACTGAAATGATTAAATCTGAAAATATATTCCAATAAAAATAATTCAAATGAAATTAATTGAAATAAATAAAGTAAAAATATGAAAAAGAGTTAAAAGTTACAGTGCAGAGTTAAAGTTTAAAATGGTTATTAAAGCTGTTTAATGAAAGGCAGCTGTAAACAGGTGAGTCTTCAACCTCCACTTAAAAGAGCTGAGAGTTTCAGCAGACCTGCAGTTTTCTGGGAGTTTGTTCCAGATATAGGGAGCATAGAAACTGAACGCTGCTTTACACCTTGTGTGGATATATTCAGACATCATCTTCTAGCGTCTGTGAAAACAAGCTCAGTCTAGTCTGTGGAGTTCTAGAAAGACTTTTAAACAGTTGAATGGTCTAATGGTCTAAACCCAAAGTGCTCCGGTCTTACTGTGAAGAAGGATTACCTGTACAGTATCGCCTTCATCACATGTTTTCTCTCTCTCCCTCTCTCTTTATCTCAGGACCAGCCTGCTTCCCAGAATGATTGACGCCAAGTACCTGGACATCATGGACTCCCAGCACATGTAGAACACTTTCATTTTCTCCAGCTGGAAGGGGAACAGACTCACCACTCAGCGATTGTGTTACTTTACAAACTAAAGGCATTTTGGACAGCGAGAATTCAGCGAACTCTGCCCCCTGCTGGTGACTGGACGACTGCCCGCGCAGCTTATTTACTTTCTCCTCGTTCACCAAACAGGAAGCGTCTTTTTGTTCTTTAACATTCCTCCAATGATCATGTAGTTTTTTTATTAAACACACAGATCTGTGCAGTGTGGTCTTCACGTTGGTTTCATAAAGCACGCTGAAGCCAGATGGTCCAGATGTTTAGATAAAAAAAACTGCTGCTTGTCTTGTGAGGAGAACGATAACATGATGATAATGTAAGTATGAAGGTGATTTGTTCTGTTGTGATTCAATCAAACTGTTCTTAAATAAAGCCCTTTAGTGGAACTGAATGAACATTTGATTTACCGTATTTTCCGCACTATAAGGCGCACTTAAAAGCCTTTAATTTTCTCAAAAAACGACAGTGCGCCTTATAATCCGGAGCCAATGGATCAATTGGTTAATTGGTTGATCCATACTGGTTGTACACGGCGCTCAGCGACACTGACTCGGATAATGACGAGAGGGAGCCGGGCATGTTGGATGCCGTACTCGCCCAACTGTTCAATTCGGACACTGAAGAAGAAGAATTCGAGGGATTCGTGGACGGGGAATGAACTGAAGAAGTGAGCTTTACGTGTTATACGTAACTGAACAATGTTGAGTTCTGCACTAACGCAGGGGTGCCCAACCTTTTTTGAACCAAGATCTACTTTTAAAGTTCCCAGTCTGCCGAGATCTACCAGTCCACATAGTGAGCCATAGCCTTTACCAACAGCCTACAAACGCATTTAATACTCACACAACAAACAGAAAATAATAAATGAGAGTTCTGTAAAAAATAATGCAGACTACAGACTACAGCAGGCTGCTGTGAGATGATTTTGCTTTTGTTAAATTAGCTGCAGACACGGTGAGAGTGAACGGAGTAAAGTCCAACCGACTGTTTGACCGGGTCACGTGTGTTCCCACCTCGGTCCGTACGGATCACGGATCAACTGTGTGCTGTAGCACTAAAAGTAAAAAGTAAAAAGGTTCGCGTGGTGGCTGGCGCTCCAGTGCAAGTGTGTGTGTGTGTGTGTGTGTGTGTGTGTGTGTGTGTGTGTGTGTGTGTGTGCGTGTGTGTGTGTGCGTGTGCGTTTGCGCTGTTCGTTGGTGTGTCTCGTCCCCCGCGATGCTCACAGTCATGACAGCAGAGAGGAGCAGAGAAAAGTAGCTGCAGCTTCATCAAATGCGCTTAATACTCGTAGCATAGTTTCTATATATGACTTTTTGGTAAAACATTTAGCCCCCCGGTTTTACCTGCACGTCATTGCGCATGCCTGCACTCTCTCTCTCTTGCGCGTGCTCTCTCTCTCTCTCTCTCTCTCTCTCGCTCGCTCGCTCTCTCATGCACGCAGCAATTTCATGAATAAATGAAAAATTAAATACACACAGGTCGGAAGTATACTTGGGCTCCCAACACAGGTATCGTGTGTGAGAAACAGTGCAATGAGATGAAATTGAAATCACTTTTCTATTTTACAATTGTATTTTATATTGACTAAACATCTGGATGGACTGAGAATCAGTCAGCGATCTACCTGTCGATCGCGATCGACTGTTTGGGCACCCCTGCACTAACGTTTGAATTAGCGGTATCAGACTGTGTTTCTTTTACGTGTTTACAACTGAACAAGGCTGGGAGATATTGTGAATATGCACATTAACGTTTGAACAACGTTGAGTTATTGTGAATGCACTACGTATAAAACTACGTTTTGAGAGTTAAGGGAAACGTCAAAGAAATAATTTATTATTTGGGGAAATCGTCTTATGTACTTTTGTTTTTGTAGTTTTATACGTTACGTTTTATACGTATTTATATTTATATGTTCACAATATCTCCCAGCCTTGTTCAGTTGTAAACACGTTCTATTCTATGCGCCTTATAATCCGGTGCGCCCTATATATGAAAACAGTTCTAAAATAGGCCATTCATTGAAGGTGCGCCTTATAATCCGGTGCGCCTTATAGTGCGGAAAATACGGTACACTGAACCTCCAAGTGGACATCAGCTGTAACTACACCATCACACAGCAGTAACCCCTCGCCACTGATCGTGGAATAGGGCGGGGTCAGATGTCCGACACCTCCCCGTCACTGTTCTTATTGGATATCCCGGGCGGCGGACATCAGATGGGCGTGGTCTGGGGTGAATGGATGTACAGCACCATCTGCTGGATGAGCGCAAGAACTACAACTATACCTATAAATAAATATAATTTTATTGTTTAATTATTCTGTTCTTTATGATGATACATAACAAATATGATTTCATTTTTTTAAGCTTCATTCTGCTATTATTCAGATTCATTATTATAAAGCATAGACTGTAAATATTACTGGACGAACCCTGACCCGTCTGTGACATAGGCAGAAAATGAGTCCAATCGACGGCCGCATCCATATTGGATTTGCAGTCTCAACCTAACTTCGGATCAACCTAGCAACAGCAGTAAGGCGGGACCAGCGGGACTTAACTCCGCCCATTCAGCTCGACGTTAGCAGTCCACTTGACAGCATCGCTAACAGCTAGGCTGCTATCATCAACTATTCCTGCTCGTCCTGAGAAAACTCTACAAACAGTAAGTTAACATTTAACTTTTCTACAACACAGTTAAAACTAATTATATTCAACCCAAATATTAATTAAAGTCTTAAAACTACACTTTGTTAAATATACAACTATGGTTATTAGTTATTTGTCAGAGCAGTTAGACTTTGTCAGTGTTAGCAGAGAAATACATTAACAAAGTTTTATCCATAAACTGTAAATAAATATGAGACATCCAGAAGAAATCAATATTACAAAGCATACAGTTCATGTTACTGTTCTGACAAAAAGAGGAATGTCTGTGTTTTATATTTACTGATGTCAACAGCGATGAGGTGAACATGACAATTAAAAATAATTATTTAGTATTTATTATAAGACATTTGTTTTCTATTGAACCTGTGAAGTCATGGAGTCTGTGGACAGTGTCAGCTTCACACCAAAAACTTTAAGTATTAGAAAAAATAGTGTTTAAGACTGGCATCTATTATGATGAGTTGCAGCTACCTTGTTCAATATTATTCCTGCAGATGTGGCTCATAACAAAAAAACAGCCTGAGCTGTCACATGTAGTTAACTGTACATTTTGTCTTGTCTGAGGCATTAATTGAACACCTTTGTATTTCTCCTATAGACACAGTGTGGATTATTGGTGACTGGTCCGTCGAGGTGCCCAGAGAGCTGCAGAGACAGAGGAAGAAACCTGAGCCTCAACAACATCTGTATTTGTTGGTTCTTCTGGGGTGGACTTCAGTTGCTTCTCTTCAACAGCTCGCTGTGAGGGAGGTCTCCCCCGGATGGCCTGAGTGATGTCACCCACAGGCTGAGAGCTGAGGCGGGTTTTAAACCTCCTGACAAACCGTTACACCGCGCCCACCTGTCAATCAGGTCAGCTACACGCCTTATTGTGAATAACTCTTATCCTTCATCAAATCAAAACTGATGAGTCATCAAAACATTCACCCCCGTACAGTGTGTGTCCATCCAGACATGAGCTAATCACACCTATTTGTTTGTTTTGTACCAAGCTGTAAACATGTTCATCTCTGCTGTAAAAACAGACTTTTTTTAATGTTGTTTTTCAGATTAAATAAATATTTCTATATAAATGCACTCCTTTGTCTCTACTTATGAGTATACATTTCAGATTTGAAATGACAAGACTAAAATGTGCATTAATGCTCAACTCAATAGCTTAGGGAAGGAAGTCTACTTTTACACAACTTCTTATTCTTTTGATAAATACTAATGCAGTTCATTTCTGAAAGTGGGATGGAACAGAGTCATTGCAAAAATATGACCTTAAACACAGCCCCATTCTTAAATCAAGATACATGGAGAGTAAATAAGATCAATAACTTGTGAATAAAAACAGTTAAAAATGATTTAGAAATGTAGTCTTCCCAGATCAATATCACATAATATCAACTTCTCCCATCTAAACTGGACAAAGGGTTTTAAAATGGGAAGAAAATGGTTTGATTGCAAGTTGTTTGGAGGAGATCTATTTTTATTTGAACAGCATGAATACAGTCTTCCAAGGTGCAAACCCTCCTCCTCCTCCTGAAGCTGTGGAGCTCCTTCATGTACTGCTGTCTTATCTGCTGGCCATCTTCTCTCAGCAGAACTTTGACTGTTGAAATGTATTCAGAAGAAGCTCGAGCATGTGACATGGATCCAGGAGAACATGGACTTTTAGTGAGGGTCTTCAGGATGACAAAGAAAGAGAGAAAATATCAGTTATTCATTAAATCATTTTGTTTGTTCTCATCTATTTTTCTGTATTCATCTGTGTGTAAGAGCACATTTATAAATTCAACAGTGTACTACCCAGACAACAAAGGTCCAGTATTCAGGTAATCAACATCTATTCAAAGTTAAGAAGATAAACATTATTGTAATCATGCTGTTTTCAGCTCTCTCACTCACACAATGATATTCCACATCAAATTGTCTCAGATTTTGTGTGAGGAAAAATTAAGCAGTTTATTGTGGATAGTACTTCATCTTAACATGAAACAAATATAACCTGAATTATTTAAATCATTAACAGGTCCCAACTCTCTGTGCTTTAGTACAGAACATACAGTAACTCATTTATTATTAACATGAGCTCAGTACATGGCTGTATTCTTCAAACTATTTCTTATACTTTATATCTATGTGCTTTATATCTTATTTTCATTCCATATGTTATTTATATTTTATATTTCTACTGCTATATTCTGTGTATGAGTTCAGTGAAAATTAATATGGTTATTAATATAGTTCTTAATGGTTACAGATGCTCTTACAAAGTGAAGTTTTTTTTATTTGTTAACAGTTTGCTCAAATCTTAAGACACGACATCAACCATGTAACTTTAATGTCATCCTCTATAACCTACACAGCACATTAGGTTCAGTTCAGTTTATGTTACTGACGGATAATTACTACACAAAGTTTGTTTTTTAATGTCCACATTTAGGTGGAGTATAACATTCATCATAACGTCAGATAACCATATTTACAGTCTGTGGTTAACCACCGAGATGAACCTTTAGCTTCTAACATCACACAAACTCATTATTTTCAACATCTTAACAACAAACATTTCTAAACCATTGACTGTAAATAATGAGCTACACAGTTAGCCGACTGGTTTACAAACTAACGCTAAACAAGCTAAAGGTCTGTAAATATAAACACAGACACACAAGTATACAGTAAATATAACACTACTATATCACTTACCGAAAAAAAGGGCGACATCTA